ACCTGGACATGTGTTGCAGCTCAGTATGAAGACTGTCCCTCTAAAATGGCCCACTGCTGAGTCTTTTTCTTATTCCTGACATTGTATGGCTAGTCAGTCTATGATCAGAGAGAAATATCCCTCAGGTGATACAAGGGAGAAGGCATTTGCAAAGCGAGTGTAAAGGTAAGTTCAATACATCTGAAGCATTGAAATGAATACTGTGAAAGAGAAAGCCCCATGAGAAAATGAATGATTGAATCTTCAGAGCAAGCCTTGAACAGCATTCAGCATAAAGGACCTGGGACTGAATAATGAATACTGGGGGAAAAGAGAAGGGAACAGGACTTTAACACATGTTCACTAAGCAAAGGGAAAAATATCCAATCCTACAAATACCAACAGTATACATACAGTGCTGGAGAACTGATGCTAGACACAAAAGTCTTCATACTGTAATTTCTCAGCTTTAATTACAAGTTCTAAAATTCATTTAAAATTGTCCTTGTTTTAAAAATAGTTTTTCTATGTATAGCACTCTAAAGATTCAAATATACACACAGACATGCGCTTACAATGATAGTTACAGTTTCATAAATAAATGTGCACATAAACACTTCCAAACATATCCTGCATGGTCCAGCCTCAGGAGATGTGGTGGATGCTTCTCCAGCTGCCTGACATTTCAGCAGGCAGCACTGGTGTATAAAGGAAGAACACATCTCAAAGTTTGACTCCATGGTTGATGATGCCACTGTGAAAGCCAGCCAAGGAAGAAAATGCAGGTCAAAATCTGTTCTCTTTACAGAATCCTCAACCCTAAGAGAGAATTTTACCCTTTTCCTCTGTAACCATCATTCACCATGGGGTTCCCCCCTGTCTGCAGGGAAGTTTCTTTTAATTCTCACTGGAGTTGATGTGACAACCATAAAAGAATTAATTTGTACAAGGCCATTACTGCACCAGTGCTGTGCCTACGAGTCAAACTCAATGAAGGGGAGTCTGAGTGTATGGCAGCTACGTCCTGGCAGGTTCTGGAGAACAGGGATGGGTATGACTTCATGTGAAGCTGCCTGTGCATGGATTTCCCCCTCCTCATTGCTTCTGCAGTCTCATCAAAATTCAGCTGAAATTTCTCAGTAAAATTATTTTTTCTTTATGTTACCCTGGGGTTAAGCACTTTTAACTCTTCAGCAACAGCAGCCTTCAATTACCCTCTGGGATTCAGGAACACCAGTGAATCAGTCTTCAGGAGACAAATAGGGGTGCTGTTCAGGGATCACCCTCGTTTCCTCTTAGACTCAGTGTCCTAGTTCACACCTGTTTCTCTACACAGCTACCATACCATGCTTGCCACTGTAATATCTGGGATCAAGTCTGTCCTTTAACCTACACCATATGATGGCTGGTCACCACCCAGGTGTATTTTGAGGACAGGCTTAGTATTCATTATTGCTCCACCTGTGCCTTGTTTTTCACACAAAGGAAATGTGGGAGCCAGGGCAGAAGGCAGCTCGAGGGAGGCATGGTGCCCTCTAAGAGGCTCCTCCAATCTGAACAAGCAGAAACCCAGGATCATAGCCCAGGGTGCAAAGCACATCACACCATAGTCTGAAGTCAAGCTAAGAGCTTAAAGCCCCTAAGTTTTCCTGGGAGCTCCAGAAAACTACAGAGGAACCAACAGAACATGTCACCTGCAGGTGGAAAATCATCGACAGCAGACATCCTGCCCCAACTCACCTGCCTTCTTCCAAGAGCTGGATTTCTTCTCATTCCCAGTATCTGCCTACAGTTTGCCAGAAGGCTGCAGAGCAAGCTTTTGCCTCATGAGGCACAGATATGCCTTTAAGTATTGTGTGATTAATTTCTTGATCAAATGTGGAACTGTTCAACACTTCTTGGAAACTTATAATTCACATTTCTAATAAATCTTTAAAATTATGTGGAGCATCACACCCATTAGTACTTGCCTTTAAAAATACTTCCAGTGCAGATAACAATCTGATTCAGAAGAATTTTAGCAGATGTAGGCTTGCAGAGGAAATTATTAATTTAGGGCCTTACATTACCCTCAGAACACCTTTATCAGTTTTTGTGATTTCTTAAAAATGTTGATACAAAGGCAGGCATGTGGAACTCTAATTGGAGAATAGCAGAGCCTCCCCACACTCAATAAAACCTCTCGTGGGTGCAGTGTAACTGAAGTCATACACAGAGAGCCTTTCCTGCAGATTCTTCCCTGAGGATTCCTACTGAAACCAGAAAAACTAAATTAACTTTTCCAACACAGCATGAATGTGGGTTTACCAATCTGTAATTAGAATGGGTGTGTTTTGTGAATGAATTTGTTGTTACAATCAGATCTGGTTCTAAAGACAAAACATGGTTACAAGTAATTAAGTAATTTTACCAGTAGGGTTTTTTTTCTCTTTCAAAGTCAAGCCTAGGAAAAAAAAAAAGTCTGACAGATGTTGAGAAAAATTTACTAACCTCAGTTCCTCAGTAGTAGTATTTATATGACTAGAAGTTCACTGCACAAGGCAATGCAGGAAAGAACAGCAAACACAGGAAGGGAGCACAGGAAAGAGAAATAATGGACTTCAATTTTTTGGTGGAGACATTACATCATTTGCTTTGCAACGTATCTGTATTTCACAGCCAGAATAATATCAGCCAGCTCCAAGATAAGGAACACCTTTATTTAGAGAATAAACCTAGTTCAGATTTCATCATAATGCCAATATTAGCCATATTAATATTACAGTTCCTCTCAGTAAATACTAAGTAGTTAATAACATGCTGTGTGCAAAGGGAACAGATTTTCCTAATGAGCTGTGCATATAACCTGGGAATTAACAGGTTCAGAACATAGAATTATAGAAGCATAGAGTCATAGGATCATTTTGGTCAGAAAAGACCTTTAAGATCATAGAGTCCAACCACAAACCTAACACTGCCAAGTCCACCTCTAAACCACATCCCTAATCACATCTACACGTCTTTTAAATACCTCGAGGGATGGTGAATCAACCACTGCCCTGGGCAGCCTGTTCCAATGACTGACAACCCTTTTGGTGAAAAAATTTTTCCTAATATTCAATCTAAACCTCCCCTAGTGCAACTTGAGGTTGTTTTCTCTTGTCCTATCACTTGTTACCTAGGGGAAGAGACCAACACCCACCTCTCTATATCCTCCTTTCAGGTAGTTGTACAGAGTGATAAGGTCTCCCCTCAACCTCCTCTTCTCCAGGCTAAACAACTCCAGTTCCCTCAGGCGCTCCTCAGCAGACTTGCATTCCAGACCCTTCACCAGCTTTGTTGTCTTTCTTTGGATATGCTCCAGCACCTCAATATCTTTCCTGTAGTGAGGGACCCAAAACTGAACACAGGTTCACTCTGCTTTTGGAGGGTTCCTTCACTGCTGAGTGCAAGGAGATAGGAGTAGGTCTTCAATTGGCAGAAACGAGCTGACATCCCCCTTGTAGGGCTTTGTTTTCTTTTCTTTTTTTTAAGATTTTAGAGCCAAATAATCAGATTCCTGTCAAAAATTGTGGACAGCCCAGCCTAGCCATTGGTGGCTATTGCATCAGACTATGCAGACACACCTCTCTGCCCTATGGCAAGATGTGAGCTGGTGAGAGGCCAGGCTCTGGTAACCTGCATGTTGGGATTGGGTTCCAGCTGCAGCTACTTGAGGAGTCATTGCTGAAGGTACAGAGGCAGCAGCCAGTGAAGCTGCCACATAGACATTATGGAAGTGCTGGGCACATTGCAGATGGAAAGTGTGGGTTTGGCCAGCACTGAAATCTTGAACCCTTTGAATGCATAATGGGATTATACTTCATTAAATTTGGGCAGAAGGTGGAGAGGGACTTCCTTAAATACAGGCCCAAGAAATACAAATTTCTATAGGCACAAGGAGCAATTTGCCAATTGCTACTCTGCTAAGCCCAAAATAAATTGATCACTTCATGGTGGGCCGCATGCTGTACATTTTCTGTGCATTTATTGCAATACATGCTGTCAAGGGCAGCTGTACATCTCTCCAAAGGAAGCACATGTTTCTGCAGTACACACAGTTATGAGCACATCAAGTAGTCAGCAGCATCCACTCCTCCTCACCCAGCTCATGTGTGGGTTTGGTCTATTGTTTCTGTTGTCCTTAATATACACATAAATGACCTGGAGAATTCGTAACTCATTATTCAGCAGCAGCTCTCCCCATAGCCCTTGAAGAGGTGAATTAAGCGTGCCTTCTGACATTGCATTTACCATTGCCTGGTGATGACTCTGTGATTGATGACTCACCGAGCTGCTCCAAGAGAATAACCTCCCCTTTGTGAACCCTCGGTTTGCATCTTCATTGTGCCCCTGCTTGGAGCTTGCCATCTGTGTCTCAGGCATTCTTTCACTCACATAGGTCTCTACATAAACCTGCCCTCCTCACTCTAGTCAAGAGGACCTCGCTGATAGCTATGGTGATCAAAGCTACTGCCCTCCACATTATTGATTCTGTGTCCTGTCCACCACACTCTGTCTTTCAGATCTTGCTGTTTTGCAGGAACCAGAAGCTATGAGCTTGACTAGTTGGCTTAGGCTATCATTCCCTTATCTGATCTGTCAGATGTGTCATGTGTGGCCCAGCGTGGCAATCCTCTCGCTGTGCAGCAAGCTTGAGACATGCAGAGCAGGTCTCCAGACCACCATCCTCAGCAATGTACAGAAACAAATGCAACTGTCATAATTCACAGCAGAACAAAGGTCAATAATTTTCTGCCTGAATTGGACATTCCTTTGCAAAGTTCTATGACTCACCAAGTAGAAAATAATCCAGATGGTTCTGTTTAGTGTTATATCAATTAAATTTCCTTATTTCAAAATTGTCCTTTATTCTAGTAAGGTTCCTAGTAATGCAAATGTCATTCAGCTTTATTCAGATAAACCAAGTTAAGTGCATAGGTTTGTCAGAGGAGTGCTTCTTTCTGCTCAAAAATTAATTCTGAATTTTTATAATACTCTCAGTGAATAAACAATGTTTTTATTAGCTTTATAGAATGCACCTTCCCTCTACAGAAAAGATGGTTACTGACAGCATAGGAGATGATATAGAATAAAATTAAATCTAACATTTAAAACAGTAACGAGTATTTCTACATATTAACATTCATACTAAGCTTAAAATTAGTACTATTTGGATCAGAGACCACTACTGAATGCTATGGCAAAGAAACTATATAAGCAATGACAATTACAATTTAAAAATAGTTAACAGTGTGAATTGGAAGAGTTAATGTGTTTTCTTCTTTTAATGTACAGCCTCATTGCCAGAAATTCACTGGACTGTGTGGACAGACCAACTGTCACAGCTGTCTATCAAGGCTGAATTAGATGAAGACAAACAATACAGGCTTTGTGGTTCAACTGAAGCAGCAGCCTCAAGAGTTTCCATTTCTCATCTGAGGGCACTGTGGGAGCATTGTCTTTCCCCTCTCTGAAAAGAGAATGGAACAATTATGTTACTGAAATTCCTCCGCAGTGGGCCTGAAAGACTGTTTATGTCCAGCCAGGGAGAAATGAAAAATTAAAAGCAGGGATTCCATGACAGCAGGTGGGGACAGTTTCAGGGTATATACTTTTAGTGACATTATGATTCTTCTCTTTTAGGGTAAAACCAGTGCCAGAAGATTTACTAGCAATGGAGGAAAGGCAATAAAAATGCAAAGTTAAGTGCAGTGGTAAAATTATTAACTTGAAACAAAGCTTTACAATTGGCTTTCTGAATCAATCAGGTAATTGATTCTACTGTGGAGAGCATGGTGGTAAACTAGAAAAGAAAATATACTTGTCACAGAGAATTTTTTACTGTTTGCTATTTTAGGGGCCCCACTAAGTGTAGTGCTGAGTACACAGCTCTCATGGGAGTCAGGTGGGCTCAGGAGATAGAAAGCAATCACCCAATTTATCCCTGCTAATAGCAGTAATATTCTTATCAGCAGTACCAAACCAATACTTGGTTTCATGCAAATACATATTCATGTGTTTCAGCATAACCTTAGAAATCAGCTGCTCAGGTTGCCCCAGCACTCTCAGTTCAGAAGTGTAGGTATGAGAGTGTCAAGTCATTTCATTCTGTTGTACTAACAATCTAATTTTTTTCCTGAGGTTATTTTAGTGTCACCTACAGCTCAGCACATACACACAAAAAATGTGTTAAGTGCTTGGGTGCAAATGGTCACCTGGGGCTACAATTGCTTGCAGGGTTAACACATCTCTAGAGATTTTCTTAAAGAGGAAGCGAGTGTAGAAGCTCTCAGTCAACAGCAGTGAAACCAGTGTCTACCCACGAGACAATCTGTGCCATAATTTCCATGTGCTTCCTGGTTATCATCCAATACCCCCAAAAGTCATGGTGTCTGGCAGCAAGATCATTTGATGGTCAGCTTGAAGAACTTCCTATCAGTTGCCTTCTAAGGGAGCCCTTCACAGAGCAGGTGGTTTTAACCACAGTTACACTTTTTGTAATAGCACAGAGGATTCCCAGTTCTTCCTGGGGTTTGGTATAAAAGTGCAACATTAAAAAACATGTAATAGTAACAAATTATTCTCAATCTCTGGAAAAACTCTTGGCATATTTTTCAGTGGGCTACTGATACAAGGGGTGCAGGGACCAACTCCCTCCCTGAAATGAACAGAAAGGTTCCTCTCGCTGTGGACAGAATATACTGCATCAGGGAATTAGACTGAAAAATCTGAGCGAGTAAGCTCAAAAGAAGAAGCCAAAAACTTTGTGTTCTTAAGTTTCTGTGTAGGCAAACAAAGCCTGTGACACAGTGACATTTTCTCAATCTCAATTAGTGCTAAACTAATTAACAAAACTGTTTTATACACTGCAGTGAGTAGTATCTCTCTTCTTTCTTGGATAATCCCTGGTGTGATGTAAGGACAATTGAGTTTCTAATTACTCCTTAATTGAATGCACATTTTGTACATTTTTCACTAGTTCAAGCTTAATGCTTTTGGTCCAAAAATCAAAGTCAGTGAAATTAAGTTGAACTGGGATTTGGGCAGCTATTGTATTAATGGATTACTTTTGGAAAGGAGCCTAATTACAAGCCAATCTGAAGATTTCAATTGTGTTTGTTATAGAAATAGTTAATGTATTGTCTGAGAAAAAGAGTGATTGTATATATTGGTAGTGTTGTAGTGTTGTTATTCATGTTTACTCTTTATTCTTGTTTAAGAGTAATTTTCCTACAATGCTAAACTAATAGCACTGTTCCGTAATATATGTGGTCAAGTAATACCATTCAGGGTAAAGGTTTATGTAGATATGAAGATACTTGCTTCTCATATTCTTCTGAAAAGTTTTTTGAAATTGAATATTTGAGCTACAATTATACAAATGGACACGTGTATTATAATCAGGAAATTGCCTAGATGCCTTGCTTGTTTATAGATTATATTTTTGTCTCTGAAGTTTCTTTTGTTTGGTTTAGTCCTACATAAAAATAGAGTCTCACTGCTCCTGGTGGAGTTCTCTACAGATCAGACAACCATCCCCAAAGAAAAGCTCACAGGATCAGTGCCATAACACGTAAATACCTGAGAAATCTAAGAGCTATTATCACAACGCCCATGGTTTATAAAAAGAAATATAAACAAATATTAGTCATCCTCAGACTATAAAAAAATCATTTTTCCAAGAATATTTATTTCTATTTCTTTCATATAATACTTTTATGTACATAGATTCCTCATGGAGAATAAATTTTCTTGTACAAAAATGGGATAAATGCAAGACTGTAACTTTATCTCAGAAACAAGGAGCAGTGGCAGAAGCAAAGATAGGGCCAAGCTGGTATATTTTTAAGAACCAGAGTCCCAATGTTCCCATAGTAATAGACAGAACACATTTAAAAGAGAAGATATAAGAAAACTTCAGTGAAAAGGATTATTTTTCAGTCTTCCAGAAGTGTTGAGAAAGTGCAAATAAATGGACTATGGAGAAATGAAATAGGATGGCCACGATAATATGCCCTTCCATCTGATAGGGAGGAAATAAGATACTGCATTGCAGCAGCCTTAGGTGGTGATCACTACACAAGATCAAAAATTTTCTTCTGCTACTTAAAAGTAGTCAATCTGCTTTCTGGAGAGCTTTTCCACCTCCTTTGTCTTACCATATTTCTTAACATTATTGTCTCACACAATATCTCTATTTTTTTCCTTACAGAAACATCTTGCCTTCTCCTCCTTAACACTAGGTTAAACCAAAAAGTTTGAGAGCTTAAAAAAGATCAAAGGACATGGGTAGCAAAACCATTTTAACACTGACTACACATTACCATTATCTTATACCTTTCTAAAAACAGCACTTGAAAGTATGGTCAGGCATGGATTGAGAGTGACTCAGAAAAGAAAACTGACTACCTTATGAATCCTCTTTCCTGAAACACTTCACATTTCTTCCATAAAAAGGTCACAATTTATTGAGTCTACATCTAGTTCTGTGGGCATTTAACAACATCTAGCTAACTAAAGTGTACCTTTGTTTCCCTTGAGCTCTGGGGATGCATAAAAATCTTTTTAAAATTACAGTAAGTTTTGCTTTGTAGCACTGCTCTGTCATAAACTGCAGCGTTAGTCATAAAACATTGCTAACAACAATAACTGCTGGCATTCTCTTCCTTGAGTGACAATTAGTTGCAAAAACATTTTCAGTAACCCCAAATAACTTGGTCGGTTTTGTTTGCTATTTATTTTCAAAACATTTCTGTCTGCTTAGGAAGAGTTTGTTTGCTTACTTTAATTGCATTGTTCTCATTCATATGAAAGAATTAGAATCACAAATTCTGTAACTACCTGGACCCTCAGTTCCAATGGAGTAATAATGTTCTTAAAAATCCCTGTGTGATTTTATCTGGGTAAAAGGGAGTGCACTCCCACTGTCTAACACGTATAACACTGCCAAAGAAGCAATGCATGTTGTAGGCTTTCTTCTCTGTCTGTGGTCAGACACAGGTACCTGTATGTCCTTCTAATATCCTTGACATTTGAAAGCTGTAACATTACTATATTTTACACATACTAATCTAGAGTCTCTATATTGTAACAAACAGATGTAGTTTTATCAAAGATTATTTAAGCTTCCTACCATTTTGCCTTACCACTAATTTGCTGCGTTTTCCCCATAAGCGAAAATAACATAGCAGAATTTCAGTTTCACTCTAGCTTTGGTGTTGAAATTGCCATTAAACATGCTGTGAGGGCATTTTTTATGACAGGCACTCCTGGCTACATTATCACTTCCCAAGCAGCAGTGTACAAGCCATACATGGTTTATAGTAAGCAGCTGGAAATTACACTCTCAAAATGCTTTTCATAAAAAAAGATTATAACAGTGCAGTGTGGATAGCAAAGAATGTGTGATGCTGATACAGAGTCACAGGTCAAGAAATGTGGGAGGCCTTGTCAGTATGAAGTATCTTATTTGAAGCATAAGCAGGGGTCTGATTCCTAGGCTATCTTATGATTTTTTTAGCTTTGAAAAGGAAGCACAGTATTTTGTTTATTCTTTGCTGCTTCTTTACATGCTAAGGGATTCCAAGTGTTTTCCATTCCTCCACCAGTATTTGTGTATGCCTCAGAAGAGCTCAGTAAAGGACTGAACAAGGACGATTCCAATATAGTGATCATTCTGGAAAGAGATACAACTCAAAATGGTTTATTACCTCATTTAGGGCTTGATCACTCTCTATACTGATGCTCTGGTCTGGCTGGTCTGGACAGAGCATAAATTCCTACTACAGCAGTGACCAGGCTGTGTCTTTTGGGCTGCCTGTGGCTACCAAATTCATAAATTGTGGCTCTTGTGTCAGAGGTACAAGCAACAAAGGTGTTTTGCTACTCACTAATTTGAGTTGTCAGCAGCGGGAAAACAAGTTAGGCTGACATTATAGGGTTCACTCACAATCTCAATCCATACCCCATTCCCTGTTATTACCATGAAGTAGTGGGAAGTAACCTGAAAAGGCACCATCTTTCAGCCGTTCCTGATGCTCTTGGTTCCCTGAATGCTTCAAAAGTTTTGCTACATTTCCAGTAGGTCTCTGATTATGGTGTGTGGCTCACAAGCCAGAAGTGTTTGGCCCTCTGTCCTATGGTCACACACTCAAATGTAAGCATATTTTCAAGTACTCTGAAGTGGGAGCAGAGTGCTGGGCACTATACATAAGCTCTTAAAAACAGAAGAACAATGGTTAGTTTTGTTGATAACATGAAGCTAAGCTTCTTTCAAAGACTGAAACTTAACAATTAAACCAAACACCTTTTAAGCACAGAACCTAAAGTCATGGAGACAAACAATGACTGATGAAAAATCACTTGCTGAGAAGCAGCATAAATCTTGTATTTCATCAAATGTAGGAAATTAGTGTTTGGATTTCTAAAGAACCAGTGTTGATAATCTTTGTGTTGTTTTTTTTTTTTTAA